CGTGTCTCTCTCTCTCTCATCATCATCATCACGGTGGCGAGGAGATGTTAACTACCTCGCCAGGTCACACGTCGTCACTAATGTCTGACCCCCGCCCGCTCCCCGCTAGGTGCGTGACGTCATTTATGGATGGCCCCCGAGGGCATTCCGTGACGGTGTCTGCACGAGCTATGAGCAAGGCAACTGCAGCACCCACACGCCCTCTCGTTTCCACCACCATCTCTCCCCCCATCATGCCACAAGAACAAACACAGCAAGGCTCAATTCCTCTGTCGATGGGATTGGAAGCGTCCGGCGTTAGCTTTCGAGAGCCAGTGATGGCAAGTGTCCAGAACAGAGGGTATGTTGGGGGTGGTAAGATCGCGCGAATGTATAAATGTTGCGTCGTTAAAACCCGCCACCACCCGACACAGCCAACTAGGAAGTTGTGGATTGGCTGTCCAACACACAAACGGTGTGCTGTACTAGTATACTACACACTACACTATACACTACACTATACACCACACTATACACTACAATATACACTACAATATACACTACACACTAAACTATACACTACACACTACACTATACACTACTATACACTACACTATACACTACTATACACTACACTATACACTACACTATACACTACACTATACACTACACTATACACTACAATATACACTACACTATACACTACAATATACACTACACACTAAACTATACACTACACACTACACTATACACTACTATACACTACACTATACACTACTATACACTACACTATACACTACACTATACACTACACTATACACTACAATATACACTACAATATACACTACACACTAAACTATACACTACACACTATACACTACACTATACACTACTATACACTACACTATACACTACAATATACACTACAATATACACTACACACTAAACTATACACTACACACTACACTATACACTACACTATACACTACTATACACTACACTATACACTACACTATACACTACACTATACACTACAATATACACTACAATATACACTACACACTAAACTATACACTACACACTACACTATACACTACACTATACACTACTATACACTACACTATACACTACTATACACTACACTATACACTGCACTACACTATACACTACACTATACACTACTATACACTAAACTATACACTACACTATACACTACACTACACACTACACTACACACTATGGCTGTACTAGTGACGAACTGTCCACGTTCTGTGTACGTGACTACCCTTACTGGTTGGCTGTGTCGGGTGGTGGCGGGTTTTAACGACACAACATTTATACATTTACGCGATCTAACCCCAAACAAAACCTCTATAATGGATGATATTGGTCGCGAACGCCTACGGCGTGTTAAGCTGATGGCAAGTATTTGACACGCTGACATCAACTGGAATGGCAGCGTCTTAAGAATTGTAAAAAAACCGGAGTTGTATTCATATTCTTGGTTCTTTCGGTAAAGTCACCACGTAGAAGGGAAACAATGAAATAACAAAAATATAAAATAATAACGTTCTCACGACGTTTCGACTGCAACACAAGAAGCAATCATCATCAGGTGTGAAAACCACAGCAAGAAACTTTGAAAAAAGTGGCGGTGTTTTTTTATTAACGTTAGCACCACGGAGAGCGATTTGACAGTTTGTTCAGATGGACGAGTCCATCTATGTTCGGAAAAGAGGAGGGGGGAGACGAAAAATAATGGATGCGCTCTGAAAGCCACCGTAAGCGTGATCAAGAGATAGGGAACCGGTTCCCATAGAAAGTCTATGGGCAATTTTTCGATTTAAAGCTGTCGTGACTGCAAGGATTCATCTTCTTTGGTTCTTTCGGTAAAGTCACCACGTAGAATGAGAATAAAATAATAAATTGATAAAATAATTACCGGCCACGGCCGATCGAAATGAACACAAAGCAGACTTATAACACGGTAGGACCAACACCTCGGCCGTGGCAGATCACTGTTATAATTCAGTAAGCTCACACGACATTGACTTCTCCAAGACAGAGGTTCTTTGTAAGCCATCTGGCTACCATGAGAGATTCGTTCATGAGGCTATCCACATATACAAGCACAGAGACAATTTCAACCGAGAAGATGGATTCTGGCTTAGCAATCATTGGAAGGATTTGATAACCATTTCGGGTCTTAATTGATTGTTCACGCTTACGGTGGCTTTCAGACCGCATCCATTATTTTCGTCTCCCCCCTCCTCTTTTCCGAACATAGATGGACTCTTGATTTAAAGTTTTCGTGACTGCAGGGATTCATATTCTTGGTTCTTTCGTTAAAGTCACGTAGAAGGGAAACATTAAAATAATTAAAAAATATAAAACAATAAAATTCTCACAACGTTTCGACTGCAACACAAGCAATCATTATCATGTTGTGGTTTTCACACCTGATGATGATTGCTTGTGTTGCAGTCGAAACGTCGTGAGAATTGTATTGTTTTATATTTTTTATTATTTTATTGTTTCCCTCCTACGTGACTTTACCGAAAGAACCAAGAATATAGATGGACTCGTCCATCTGAATAACTGCCAAATCGCTCTCCGTGGTGCTAAAGTTAAAAAAACGCCACTTTTTTCAAATTTTCTTGCTGTGGTTTTCACACCTGATGATGATTGCTTGTGTTGCAGTCGAAACGTCGTGAGAATTGTATAGTTTTATATTTTTATTATTTTATTGTTTCTCTTCTACGTGACTTTACTGAAAGACACAATAATATTTAGCAGTGATGTTAACACTATACTCGGTTTACACGGGGAAAGAGATGGCAGCCACATTAAACGCTTTCGATCGAAATTTTGCGTGCAAAATAAGGTGTAAAATTAACTCATTTTGATTAAAAACCGGCGAGTATAAAGCATCAATTTAACTATTATTTTAAAAATATGTATATAAAAAAAAAGTTTTGTGTGCCGTAAGCGGGAATCGAACTCGACGCGCTGAGTGGGTCACGTGACCGCCGCCGAAGCGCCAGCTGATTGGTTCAAGTTTACCGTGACGCGTTTATAATGCGCGCCGTGATGCTAGCGACTTGCCGTCGGCCATATTGGGTGAGGGAGAGTGACACCGGCAACCAACTACAGCGCGACAAAGCAAAGATAAAGGGCCCCCGCGTAGCCTGCAACAGGCTACTGGGGCAAGTAATTTTAGCGAGGAGCACCTACGAATGCCGGCACTGTGGCACGCGAAACCGGGGGAGAGTGTGGGTGTCCAGCACCACACCCGACCGCCTTTGTCTCCCCCCCTAAGCGGCGATGTTTAACCGCACAGCCAGGCACTCGTTTGAGGCCGAGTAGACCTAGGAGAGGGGTTGCCCGCGACCGCTTCAAAGGAATCGCCACCCGGCCTCTGAACGGCCCTACCGGAAGCGCCACCGCTCCTCCCCAACCTTCCCTTACGAAGATGGCGGCACGAGTTCCGCGTCGGCTTTCGGGGCTCTGGAGGTAACCCCGCCTTCTTGCCCCGCCCCTTACCCCGCCCCCTCCATTGAAGCTGCGCGCAGACGGCAAGAGGAGCCATGGTGAGGAGTCGAGGGAGCGGAGCCAGGGCCTAAGGCTCATAGAGCTCACAGGGCCTAAGGCTCATAGAGCCACAGAGCTCACAGCCAGGGCCTAAGGCTCATAGAGCCACAGAGCTCACAGAGCCAGGGCCTAAGGCTCATAGAGCCATAGAGCCACAGAGCTCACAGCCAGGGTCTAAGGCTCACAGAGCTCACAGGGCCTAAGGCTCATAGAGCTCACAGAGCCACAGAGCCAGGGCCTAAGGCTCATAGAGCTCACAGAGCCACAGAGCCAGGGCCTAAGGCTCATAGAGCCACAGAGCTCACAGCCAGGGCCCAAGGCTCATAGAGCCACAGAGCTCAAAGTCAGGGCCTAAGGCTCATAGAGCCATAGAGCTCACAGAGCCACAGAGCCAGGGCCTAAGGCTCACAGAGCCACAGAGCCAGGGCCTAAGAGCTCATAGAGCTCACCGAGCTCACAGGGCCTAAGGCTCACAGAGCCACAGAGCCAGGGCCTAAGGCTCACAGAGCCAGACTAAGGCTCACAGAGCCAGACTACGGCTCACAGAGCCAGACTAAGGCTCACAGAGCCAGACTAAGGCTCACAGAGCCAGACTAAGGCTCACAGAGCCAGACTAAGCCTCAGAGCTCACAGAGCCAGACTAAGGCTCTCAGAGCCAGACTAAGGCTCTCAGAGCCAGACTAAGGCTCTCAGAGCCAGACTAAGGCTCACAGAGCTCACAGAGCCAGACTCAGGCTCACAGAGTCAGACTAAGGCTCTCAGAGCCAGACTAAGGCTCTCAGAGCCAGACTAAGGCTCTCAGAGCCAGACTAAGGCACTCAGAGCCAGACTAATGCTCACAGAGCTCACAGAGCCAGACTCAGGCTCACAGAGCCAGACTAAGGCTCTCAGAGCCAGACTAAGGCTCTCAGAGCCAGACTCAGGCTCACAGAGCCAGACTAAGGCTCTCAGAGCCAGACTAAGGCTCTCAGAGCCAGACTAAGGCTCTCAGAGCCAGACTAAGGCTCACAGAGCTCACAGAGCCAGACTCAGGCTCACAGAGTCAGACTAAGGCTCTCAGAGCCAGACTAAGGCTCTCAGAGCCAGACTAAGGCACTCAGAGCCAGACTAAGGCTCACAGAGCTCACAGAGCCAGACTCAGGCTCACAGAGCCAGACTAAGGCTCTCAGAGCCAGACTAAGGCTCTCAGAGCCAGACTAAGGCTCACAGAGCTCACAGAGCCAGACTCAGGCTCACAGAGTCAGACTAAGGCTCTCAGAGCCAGACTAAGGCTCTCAGAGCCAGACTAAGGCTCTCAGAGCCAGACTAAGGCACTCAGAGCCAGACTAAGGCTCACAGAGCTCACAGAGCCAGACTCAGGCTCACAGAGCCAGACTAAGGCTCTCAGAGCCAGACTAAGGCTCTCAGAGCCAGACTCAGGCTCACAGAGCCAGACTCAGGCTCACAGAGCCAGACTACAGTATACATGCTACACGGGGGATCTTTGTGTCTGGAACAGGTGTGGGCAAATTTTGTCACTCGCGGGCTACAATGGGTTCTAAAATGTGACAGATTGGCTTGGGCCAGGAACAGATGGATGGAGTATTTGTGTGAACTAATATAAATAACTTCTAAAAATCATCACATTGAAAGGATTCGGCTTTTAACAGGTAGCAAAACATTTATTTGCAAGGCAATTTACCAAATTGCACGAACGTGAACGATACAAAAACATGTCGTGACGTGACTGATCAAACATCGTGAAAACATCTGAGGCCTTGCGCCCAAACCAATGACCTCACTTGAACTTCATTTATTATCTACATTAGCAGGTTACAGCAGGCTGTGTGTCGGAGATTTGGCTCCAACCTCGGCTGTAGCAACACATCGTCGCTTTCACTTTCAGTGGGAACAGTGTTTGTTGATCTCCCACTGTTGCCAGTGCCATCCAAGTCTTGGAGTTATATTTTGGTTGTGGCAATTCTCAGGACAGGTCCGAGGTGCCGATCCGTTAACTTTGATGGGCGATGGGCCTCTGTTGGCGTTCACGACGCTGAATGTCTGCTTCACGCGCGTAAGTCGAGCCAAAACAAAAGTCGGCATCTTCTGTACACCAGGCTCCCGGTCAAAGTGCGCCATCTAATGGGGAAATGGGGGCATTACAGGAGAAAGGTAAAATTTAATGTAATAATAATAATGATATTTTGACAAGCTCGGCGGGCCGGATTAAAGAGCCGGACTTTGCCCGTGTCTTGTGCAGAACGGTAGTGCAGCGGTTAGCGCGCTGCGAAACCTGGCAACCCGGGTTCCGATTCCCGCTCACGGCCAGCATCGGCGACGATTATCCGAACCGGTTCTGGACATCCCCTAGGTCGACTCAGCCTCACGTGAGTTCCTGGGTGCGGTGTGTAGTAAACATCGCCACTGGGGAGACAAAGGCGGCCGGGCGTGGTGCCGGCCACCCACCCCCCTTCGTGTGCCGTGCCGGCCTTCGTAGGTGCTGCTGCTCGCTAACAGCGCTTGCCCCTAAGGCTACACCAAGGGGGGATCTTTGTTTTTTGCCTTCGTGTGTCTGTAAGGCGACCGGTTTGGATCAGCTGGTGGGGATGGGCCTGGTCGGGGTGAGCGCCGTGGTCTTCATCTACTACAGCGTGTGGGTGCTGGTGCTGGTGAGGAGAGGGCACCACCGCCACCACCACCGCCACCACAACAACAACAACAACAACCGCCACAACAACAACAACAACCGCCACGGGTGGCCAGGCACCACACCCGGCCCAGCCTGCGTCTCCCACAGCGGCGACGATGCTTGCGCGCCGCTCCGAGGACCCGTTCGAGGCTGAGTCGACCTAGGGGAGGCCCGGCACCGGTTCAGCCTATGTGTGCGTACGCGTGTGTGTGTGTGTGTGTGAGGAGCGGTAGTGCAGCAGTTAGCGCGCTGCGCTACGAACCTGGCGACCTGGGTTCAATTCCCGCTGACGGCCAGCACCGGTGACGATTATCTCTAGGTCGACTCAGCCTCAAATGGGTTACTGGTGCGGTGCGCCGAAACATCGCCACCGGGGAGAGACAAAGGCGGCCGGGCGCGGCGCTGGCCACCCACCCCCTCGTGCGCCGTGCCGGCCTTCATAGGCTGCTGCTTCTCGCTGACGGCACTTGCCCCTGCGGTCCGGTAAGGCTACACGGGGGATCTTTGTGTGTGTGTGTTGTGTGTGCGCGTAGCCGTTTGTGGACGAGCTGCATCCACTGCAGTCCCTCTTCCTGCCGAGGGACCTCGCCCTGCTGGTGCCTGCAGCTGCCCTCTTGCTCGTCAGTGCTGGACTGGGTGAGGCTCGCACACCCGCACCATCTCCATCTTCTCCATATCTCAACGACTAAGGCTAAGTTGTGAACGTGTGCGTCTGTTCAAAGTGTTCAGCGCACTTCCCGGCATGCAACAAACTTGAAATTTGACGTGTGGGTACTTTCCAGGCTGTACGCCACGCACAAATTATAAAAATAGACTTGGAGGGGGGTGGGGGGGGGAGCTCAATAATGAATTCATTTTTTGCACGGCAAGTGAGCTGTGATGTCAAATCCGTCACGTGACCCGTGCACGTGGAAGCGTAACGCATTGTAGTGTAGTGGTTAGCGTGCTGTCGTCTGTGTGTGTGTGTCTGTGTGTGTGTATCTGTGTGTGTGTGTGTGGCTGTGTGTGTGTGGCTGTGTGTGTGTTTATCTGTGTGTGTGCATCTGTGTGTCTGTGTGTGTGTGTGTGTGTATCTGTGTGTGTGTCTGTGTGAGCGGGCCCGGGTAAAACTACGTGGCCGGGAGTCAGAGCCATTCCCTGTACACCTTGGGGTGCGACAGGGATGTCCTCTGGCTCCCACATTATTTAACATCTATTTTGACCACGTAGTTCGTGAAGCCTTCAATAGCTGTACCGGGGGAATCTCCATATGGTACAGATATAATGGGAGGCTAATCGATGCCCGGGTGCGGTCAAGGGATGGCTCCCTATTGCTCAACCACGTTATGTATGCTGATGACTTGGTAATAGCTGCTCAGTCAGAGGAGGAGTTGGAGACGCTGCTGCTGAGACTGGAGCGTGCCACTAAGAGGTGGGGCCTTACCATCAGCCCCACCAAAACTAAGCACCTGCCTGGGTATTTTGTACCATCGGACACTCCACCCCCACAACTCCCAATCGGTGATGGGGCAGTTGTGGAGAGAGTGGAGAGTTTCCCATACCTGGGCAGTGTGCTTATGACTGGCTCCAGTTTAACAGCAGAGGTCTCACTCCGAATCAGTCGAGCGGCAATATCTTTTCATCGGTTGCGTAACGCTGTGTGGAAGCTACCTGGTCTATCGCTCCGCACTAAGCTTCAGGTCTTCTCGGCCACGGTCATTCCCTCCCTTCTCTACGCTTGCGAAACGTGGACCCCCCTAATGGAACATCTTCGCCGGTTAGAAACATTTAGGCTGACCTGCCTACGATCCATCCTGGGTTTAACCAGACTGGATTGTGTGAGGAGCTCACAAATCCTTGAAAGATCTGGGCAGGGTCCCATCGGTGAGCTCCTCCGGCAGGCAAGGCTGCGATGGCTGGGTCATGTAGCCCGCATGCCCAGCCACCGCATGCCGAAACAGCTTTTGTTTGGCCGGATTGAGGGGGCTAAGCGGGCGCGGCACGGGCTAGAGAAGAGATGGAGTGATGTGGTACAGGAGGACGTGGAGCTGAGTGGACTTGCCGATGACTGGTACCAGCGGTGTCAAGATCGGCCTCTGTGGAGGAGGCTCGTGAAGGATGCTACTGGGCAGTTGGAGGCAGTCGCCCTCCAACAACAACGGAGGGCGGAGGAGCGACGCTCACAACAGCGAGCGGAGCGCCGGGTGGCTAAAGCACAGCAGGTTGGCACAGTAGGGGGCACAGGTGGTGCATCAGCCAGTCATCTCAGTCAGTCGACCCGTGGCACCTGGGTCTGCCCCGTGACCTCCTGCCAGCGGGCGTTCGACACTTCACGTGGCCTCAGGGTGCACATAGCCTGGCACAAGCGTCGTGGTGACGTCACCGCCACTTAGTGGCGAATGGCGGTTGTTGTTGTTGTTGTTGTTGTTGTGTCTGTGTGTATCTGTCTGTGTGTGTGTCTCTGTGTGTGTGTCTGTGTATGTGTGTATCTGTGTCTGTATCAGGCCCACTGTCATCGGCTATAGAATCCCACGTCAGAGAATGAGGAGGCTTACCGCAGCCTTCGCTCGGAGGTTTGGAGAGCCGTGAGGCGCTGCAAGGATGGGTGGTGGTCGTGGGTTGCTGAGGAGATGGAATCTGCCTCAGTGGCCTGCGATCACAAATCTCTATTTAACTCCATCAAAAAAGTAACCTGCAACGCCACACCTATTACCATCATTAGGGGAAAAAAACGGTGATCCAATCTCCGACCCCCAGGAACAGGTTTGCAGATTTGCTGAGCATTTCTGTGAGGTCCTGGGGGAGGGAAAATCCCTCAGCCAGGAAAACATTGTGGCACAAAGTGAGGATGACTCTGTTGAGGCTGCGGTGCCTCAAATATTGGAAGAAGTCACCTGCTGTGAGTGGCTGGCTGAAGTACCATCTGTTGAGGAAGTACTGAAGGCGATCCGGAGTCTGAGACCAGGAAAGGCAGCGGGCAGAGATGATCTCCCAAGCGAAATGCTGAGGGAGGGTGGCGTTTGTGCACAGACTGCCCTATACGACATCATAACAACAGTCTGGACCACTGGACGGTTTCCGCATGATTGGAAGGATGCCCTGGTGGTCCCCCTCTTTAAGAAGGGGGACCGCACAGACTGTAACAACTACAGGGGCATCTCACTCCTCAGTGTGCCGGGGGAAAGGTCCTGGCAAGGATTATTCAACATCGCCTTGCCAGGCACGCTGAAGAGAGGCTTGCGGAGCCCCAATGCGGTTTCAGGAAAGGGCGGTCCTGCACAGATGCCATATTTTCTGTCCGTCTGCTACAGCAGAGATGTAGGGAATTCCAGCAAGACCTACATCTCTGCTTTATTGACCTGGTCAAGGCCTATGATACCATCGGTAGGCCTGGGCTCTGGGTTGTTCTTCGTGTTTTTGGAGTCCCTGACCCTCTGCTCACGATCATTAAGGACCTTCATGATGGTGAGCCTGCCCGGGTAAAACTACGTGGCCGGGAGTCAGAGCCATTCCCTGTACACCTTGGGGTGCTACAGGGATGTCCTCTGGCTCCCACATTATTTAACATCTATTTTGACCACGTAGTTCGTGTTGGTGTGTGTGTTGGTGTGTGTTGGTGTGTGTGTTGTGTGTGTGTGTTTTTGTGTGTTGGTGTGTGTGTTGTGTGTTGGTGTGTGTGTTTTGTGTGTGTGTTGGTGTGTGTTGGTGTGTCCGGCAAAACAACCCCCTACCTCCTCGCGGTGCCGGACGGGCAACTCTGTCGTGGACAGCGCTGTGGGGGGAGATCCAATTTTGATTGGCTCCTCCCCTCATTGCATATGTGTCCACCACAGGGGCTAAACGGGGGCTCTGGACGGGTGCGAGGGGCTGGTAACCCCTTCACCTTCAATTAATTACCACGAAACCACGAGTTAAACTGAAATATGTAACAACTAAGCTTGTGCCGGAGGCCCCGGGGGGCCAGGCGTCTATGACGTCTCCTGGCCAAATCCCAATTGGCGGAGCCAGGAGATTGAATACCTACCCTCGGGGCTACTCCAGAAACAACGAAAAGCCACTACGGGTGGCCACGTGGAATGTTCGAACGCTCACTGCAGAGGAGAGGCTGCCACTCCTCTGTCGGGAGCTGGACCGGTACCGCCTGGATCTATGCGGCATTCAGGAGGTCCGGTGGACCGGCTCTGGCTCCTGCCACCATGAGGGGTGGACAGTCCTCTACTCGGGGCAGCAGACTGCCAAACAACAGGGTGTGGGTCTTCTTTTGAACAAAAGAATGAAGGGGGCGTGGGAGCGTGGCAGTGAGGTGTGGGAAGCTGTAAGCCCCAGGCTACTTTGGGCTCGCCTTCCCATCAACCGGAGGCGAGGAATGGTGGTCGTGGTTACTTATGCCCCCACCGAAGATGAACATCCGTGGAGGGATGCAGGCAAAGCCGATGAGTCAGATGCCTTCTATGACCTTCTGTCACAGGTGCTGGCTAAAGTGGCCCCTCGGGATAGAGTCATCATGTTGGGTGACTTCAATGCCCGAGTTGGTCATGATACTGGCACCTGGTCTGGAGTGATTGGAGGGCATGGGCCAGATCAGCTCAATAACAACGGTAGGAGGCTGCTAGATTTTTGTGCAGCCCATGGGCTTGTAATTACCAACACGCTGTTCCGGCATCGGCGCATCCACACAATATCATGGATGCATGCCGGGTCCAAGCAAGAACATCTGCTGGACTACATAGTGACGGACCAGCGAATGCGAGCCCATGTCCTTGACACCAGGACCTACCGTGGAGCTGATCTGCCCTCTGACCATCGACTAGTCATCTGTAAGATGCGCCTGCCATTCTTCCACTCCGGTGGTGGGTGTACACCCAGGACCCCATTCCAACCTAAAGTGGCCTGGTCTCAGTTATCTGATGAAAGTTGCAAGCGAGAATTTCATCATCGCTTGCGGCTGGGATTGGCATCGTCCCCGACTCCTCCTGATGTCGAGGGTAAATGGGCGAGGTTTAGGACTGTGACTCATGCAGCTGCAATGGCTGCTTTGGGTACGCGGTCCAGACCTCCCCAGACACCCTGGCTGACAGAGGAGTTGTTCAGGATGGTTGAGAAAAGGCGACAGGCCCACTGTCATCGGCTACAGAATCCCACGTCAGAGAATGAGGAGGCTTACCGCAGCCTTCGCTCGGAGGTTCGGAGAGCCGTGAGGCGCTGCAAGGATGGGTGGTGGTCGCGGGTTGCTGAGGAGATGGAGTCTGCCTCAGTGGCCCATGATCACAAATCTCTATTTAACTCCATCAAAAAAGTAACCTGCAGCACCACACCTATTACCATCATTAGGGGAAAAAACGGTGATCCAATTTCCGACCCCCAGGAACAGGTTCGCAGATTTGCTGAGCATTTCTGTGAGGTCCTGGGGGAGGGAAAATCCCTCAGCCAGGAAAACATCGTGGCACAAAGTGAGGATGACCCTGCTGAGGCTGCGGTGCCTCAAATATTGGATGAAGTCACCCCCTGTGAGTGGCTGGCTGAGGTTCCATCTGCTGAGGAAGTATTGAAGGCGATCCGGAGTCTGAGACCAGGAAAGGCAGCGGGCAGAGATGATATCCCAAGCGAAATGCTGAGGGAGGGTGGCGTTTGTGCACAGACTGCCTTATGTGACATCA